ACGGCCAAGCGCCCACTGTACTCAGCTCCTGGAGAGGAAACTGAGGCTCAGAGGCTATGCACCTGTCAGGGCCGGTCATCAAGTAAACGGAACGCTGGACGTCAGACCTAGGTGTAACAGTCTCCAAAACCCTCGCTCTTACTCACCACCGCCTGGACCTGCTTAGGTATCCCCAGGGTAAGGCGTCCCGACCAGCCTCCCTGATGGGCACAGGCCAGGGGTGGGGGGTCCCCCAGCTGCCTGCATCTTGTTCCTCTTACCCTGGGCAGGTATTTGGGTGGGACCCTGAGCTGCCTCTCTTGACAGACCCTTTGGAAGCCGTTTGCCTCCCTCTTGGAAAGTGCAATATTGAAAATCAATGGGGAGAAAGTGTCTGAGAGGAAAACTAAATCAGATATCCCGATAGGAGAAGTTAATCATCCAAAATTAACCTTATAACATCTAGTATCAAACTGATCTATGAAGAAAGTCGATGGGAGCAAATGAAGCCCTGAAGCCTCTGGCCCCGGCCTGGCTGCCGCTGTGACTGCAGAGCGGTGACGGCACTGCCACCTGGAGCCAGATGCTGACCCGCAGCCTCGAGGTATGTGGTACAGCCATGGGCTTTCGATGGGCAGTTTCCACATACATTTCTCCCCTGCATTTGCTTAACGGCTGTTCTTGGAGCCTTAAATAAAATGCACTAAGCTGAAACTCACCGAGGAGACACGCTGTTCCCGCTGAGGGAGGGAATCCAGCCTGTGTTTCCCAGGAAAGCAAGATGCCATTGAGACGCAGCTGGAGTGACTTCTGGGCCAGGAGGGTGCGTGAGAGACCGAGCAGGAGAGTGGAGGGGTCTCTAGGCGGATCCAGGAAGTGGGAGGGATGCTGGGGACGTGAGCCTCGTGGCAAAATGAAGGCAGATGCCAGCAGTGGCTGGATAGGGCTGGACACCTGACCCCAGCCTCTCCAAGCTACTGTTTAAATCTGTGAAATGGGAGTGATTTTTCTAGATAAAAGGACTGTGGTGGGGTTGTTCCTTGTCTGTCCTTTTCACTGGGTGTAAGTCCCACAAAAGCCAAGGCCTTGTGTGTCGTGTTCACCCCTAAACTTCTAGAGTCCAGAATAATACCCCTCACATAACAGCCATTCTCTGTGTGCAAGTGAGTGAACAAACAGAAACAGCTCAGCAGAGCTCAGTAACTGATTTCTAGTAAAAGCTCACATACAGTAAATGGTGGTGAGGAGATATTGATGATAATATTAATAACAACACTTAGTAGGTGTTTACGGTACCCACTAAGTTAATTTCCTGGCATGCATTTTCTTACTGAATCTTCATAGTGATACCTTGCGGTCAAATTTTCATCATCCTTACTTTGTAGATCAGGACATGAGGCTCTGAAGGGCTCAGCGGGGGGCCCAAGTTAACAGAGCTAGTGGTGCAGCAAAATTCGAATTCACATAAAAGAGAGTAAGTTCTGAACTTGTGTGCTATTCAAATGCTGATGATGATGATGGTGATGGAGATGGTGATTTTGATGGGATGATGGTGATGATGATCATAATGTTGTAGACAAAAGAGAAGGCATGAACCTGCTCCTAAGGCTGGTCCTATCAAAGTAGTTGGGAAATGTGATACGTAGTGTCCAAACTTGAGTGTGATTTCTGGCCATAGTTGCGTGATACGTAGTGTCCAAACTTGAGTGTGATTTCTGGCCATAGTTGCTATCAAGTAACAGGTGCAGACACATCACAGCTGTAGTCACAGCTGTAAATGCTCAAGACAGCGTCAGGCTGATCCAGTCAGTAACCCTGGCTGTTGCAAGATCCCAAACAGGGGTGAGGGTTCAGGGCTCAGGAACCAGCTCCCTAAGGATAGAATGTGGCGAGACCTGGGTAGAGTGTCAGAGCCCCATCCAAGTCAGCTGCAGGTTATGGCCTGGCCACAGACCCAACGGGCAACTGGGAGCCGGGTAGAGAAACCAAGGCAGCTGTTTGTGCGTAGGACTCAGTTCAGTGGGTGGAAGATCCTGGAAAAGCCACAACTGAATAGAACCGTAGATGTCCCTGGGGTCCATCCTCAGCCAAACAATAATGTATTGATCCAATAAGCATTGACATACCTACTGTGTGTTAATGCTGAGGACCCAGCAAGGATGAAATGGCCTGGCTCATGCCCTCATGAACCACGGACCTCACATTCTAGTGGACACAGAGGACAGCCAAGTAAACAAACAAGCATCAGGGCAATGCTGGATGTGGTGAGGGTCATGGCCTCACCAGCTGAGGCCACGTGCAGGCTGAGCAGGGGCGCTGCAAGCAGGGTTGTAGGCAAATGTGCCCGGACAGCGGTAGCCTGGCCTGCAGGCTCCGGGCCAGAGAACCGAGACCACTCACAGGCGCGTCTGGCTGGTGGCCTGAAGCTGATAATGCTCCCTGAGGGGAGATAGGGAAATGGGGTGCAGCAGCCCTCACCCACGTGCTGCACACGTCACACACCCCCTGGCCAGCAAGCACCCTGGCCTCCCAGGAGGGGGCAGACTTCTCATTTCCGTAAGAGGTCACGGAAGAACTCAAGTAGAACTCAAGAGCAGATGATTCTACCGTGAGTGTGTCCATTATATCACAGGAAATATAACTGCCCCAGCGAGTCCAGGGGACTTTCGTCTTCAGGTTGTTCCTTCTGTATCATCAACAAAGAGGAGGCGTGTAGAGCCTCGCATTCCAGGGGCAAATCCCATCAGAGGTATGAATCCAAAGGAATTGTGTCTGCCTGTGTCAGAGAAGGAGTAAAGGGACATAGACAGTAGCAGAGAAGTCTGGAAGGCTCTGGAAACTTTGTCAAGGCCCCATATTCACAAAGCTATTACTCCTTGGTGGTGTAATGCTGTGAGTCACTGTAAAACCTTCCTGGAGATTTTATCACAACCACGAAACTCCAGAAACTCCTACTTTGTGAGCTCACAGCCAGGCTGCCCTGCGAGCTGTCTCAGGTACTGACCACACAGACCTGGGGTCAAAGCCCAGCTCAGCACCTCTGACCCAGGGCGAGTTTCTGGAACTTTCAGGGCCTAGCGTGTCTCATCTCCAGCAATCATTCACGAAACCCCGACTGATGCCAGCCCACCCTGCTGACGGGGTAAGTGCTGAAGGCGTCCAGGCTGCACGTGGGGAGTGGGAGCGCAGGGTGTGAGGTGGGGTGTGGGGAGCACATGGACCGCGCCGATTCTGACGCAGACCTTGGCCCTGCATGCTGCCCGCCTTAACTGCACTCCCTCACCTGCAAATAGGACGGCCGTGGGGCAGGTGGGAAAATGCACCCTCTCTGGGTCAGGCTCTGCCGTCGGAGCTCTCCGATCCCGGCAAGTCGTGTTGCCTCCCGGGGCTTCATCTCGCACCCTGTACAGCGAGGGTGCTGATCGTAAGCGTTCCTGTCTCAAAGTGTTGTTTGGGGAGAAAAATAAGTGAGTTAATTCACATAAACCACTTCACCTGTCAGCTGGGAGTGACTGTGCATCCTCTGTCATATTTAATTTCGTGATAAACACAGTAAGTAGACTTGTCCCCGTTGTATAGAGGAGGCGGCTGAGGCCCAGAGGTGAGGTTCAGGGCTACCAAGTCGTGGGAGAGACTGTGTTCAAAGTCACCGAACCAGGTGGTATGGAAATGGGGATTCAGGCCCTGTGTGTCTGCCTCAAAACCCCAGTCCTCCCCTCCCCCCAGTAGTTCCTACATAAAGGAGGGCGAGTCTTCTGTGATGTCTCGTGGTGATCGCTGCCTTCCTTTCTAGCGTTCACTTCCTTTGAACAAAATCAATTTCCCAGACTATGGTTTGTATAAAATGTACTTTGTTCCTTTTTTGTCCATCTCCAGTTTGCTGGCATCTCACGGAGTTCTCATGAGACGAGTAGCACAGTGACATTTATTAGAGTAGCTGTAATAGCTGCACACGCCTCACAGTCTGTGTCAGCTCCTCTTCCCTCCCGTCCTGAGCCCCGGGCGCCCCGCCCCGTCTCTCTTCCACGCCCTCACCCTCTCTCCCTGCAGGTCTGCAGTGGGCCCCGACAGACTCCCCACCTCCAGGTCCCCCCCTCCATTCATCAGTCACGCCAGCACCCAGCTCCACTTCACAGGCGCGGCTGTCACTGCCCGGCTCTGACTCTGAGTCCTTCCATGACTGTCTTGTCAGACGGGCCTTGGGACCTGCTCTTTCTCTGCCCAAGGCCATCATGTCCTCCTGCCCCTGTGAAAACACTAGCTGCTGAGTGGGCCCTGGGACCGCTGAGCCTCACACACTGGCCTGGGCAGCTCCTCCCGCCTTGAATAGACGCTCCAATCCCATATTCACCTCGTTCGTTTCTTGAAGCTCTAAATGCTCAGCCGAAGGTTTGCCTCCTTCAGGATGTCCTCCCCGATCACACCGGCTGGGGCATCCGCCTTTGCTCTGCTTTGTCTTCATCCTTTTGCTGTCCCTCCTGTGCCCGCCTGACATGTTCTTCAGCAGATGTTTCTGCCTCCCATTCCCAGTGTGTATAGGGGTTCAGGCCCCTGCTCATCAGCGCTTGGCTTTGCCCCGTGACCTCCTTCAGCCAGCGGGTGTCAGTGGGCACGACGCAGGCAGAGATGTGACTGCGCCCTTGAGGTCCTACCGACCCTGCAGACTGGCCCCAGTGGAGACACCGGCAGACTGAAGGCTGAGCTGAGTGGCCACCTGAAGTGTGGGAGCCCAGCCCTGAGCGGCCCGCACGTGAGGACAGCTATTGGCCGTGGTGAGCCAGTGGGGCGTCACACAGCATTCTGTGGCAGCAGATGACAGATCTTTGCTTTTCATTCGCTTTCCCTTCTTTGAAACTGAGCAACTGAAGGGCAGAGACTGACTGTCCCTCACACACAAGCCTGCGTCACCCAAGTCCACCGTGCGATGTGCACATAGAAAACGCCTGATGTGTGTTTGAAGAAAGGAGGAAGGAAGAAAAGGAAAGAAGGAGGGAAAGCACGATATTCGCAGCACAAAAGCCTTTGTTAAAACTGCCTTTTATTGGCACCTGAATTTCATGAGTAAGCCCCATGCCAAGGAAATGTCAGGAAGGAGTCAAAAAGGAAGAAATGGGATGAAAAGTTATCAAAATGATAGTCTGTCAACCTGAATTCATTTCCGAGGGAACGGAGACTGGACACGTCACCGTCTTTGAGGCTGTCCAGGCTTGTGAAGATGAAACGACTCCAAGCAGCGGCTGGGCGTCACCTGAGAGTGGCAGAGGAGGCTGGACAGAGCCGTGGGGCCCCGCTGGCGACCACCACGGACATGCCTCCTCCTGCCCCCTGCCCTCCGCGGCCGTGACACTGAGCGCCACGTGCAGCAGGTGAGTGGACGTGGTGAGCGGACTCATAACGGGCAGTAAGTGCACGAGAAGGCAGCGCTCCACCTGCTGATGACTTGGCACCCACCAAGTCCCATTTGGAGAAATAATTTTTACTTTTTATTTTCATCTTTCCTGACACCTCAGAGAGCACCAGGAGAAGTTCAGTTTTCCGATCCAAATGTTCCTCCGTTCCCAGGGCCATACTTTCTCCAGGCCAGGATGATGAAAAATCACCGCCACCTGCCTTAGCGCTTCCCTGCCAGTGTCAAGAAGGCGCGGATAATTACTGGTCCTGAGCACTCGGGTCGGGCACTTGACACACATTATTTCCCTTAATCCTCACAATGGAGGGACTTGGGGGAGGGGAGGAGGGATAAATGCCACGATTGCACAGACGGGGAAAGTGAGGCTCAGAGAGCTGAGTGACCTGCCTTTGGGCCTGCAGTTGAGCACAGACAGGCCTAAAATGCCAGTAGGGGCCATTGGAAGCCACCGTCCAGCCAAGTCGAGTCTGTATACCAGCACCTCCCCCGTCTGCCATCAGTCCATCCTCCCAGGAGAACCCCTGCCAGTCTGAGGGTGACAGTCATGACAGGAGGCTGAGGGCTGGGCAGACACGTGCAGAGGCTGCGAGCGTTCACCCTCCTACAAACCTCAGCATGTCAGAAGGCCTCTCCTTGCCAAGGATGGCTGGTCTTCAGGGAGACGGTTGTGCTGTGATGCCAGAGGCGGCCACACCTCCACGGGCGCTCGAGCTGGGCCTGGCAGCAAGCAGGCCCTTCAGTGACGGTCCAGGTGTGCAGCCTCAGCTCCACTGTGTGACCTTGAGCGAGCGGCTCAGTCCTTCTCAGCCTCGCTGTCTCCTCCTGTGAAGAGTGGAAACAAGAGGCTTCGTTCTCAGTGCTCTCTAGCAGTGAAAGACCTGGAAACAGCATCAATGCCCAACAGCAGGAGACGGCTGACTCATGACAGACGCACACGGTGACAGGCCATGGTGACACATCGTGGCCATCAAGAAATGATTTGGTGAAATACAAATCTGTTTGATGTTGATCTATGTTTCGGACACTGAGGGTTGCCTCTATCAACGCATTTATTTTCCCCAAAATCTATGAGGTTTTTATCAAGTCCGTTTTATAGAGTGCCCCAAGTCACAGCTAATGTGTGGAGAAGTTGAAATTAAAATCCAGAACTCACTTTTCACCACAACGTAATTACACAGGAATACGGTCTAATGTTAAAACTGAACGTGCAAGTTGCAGAACTCAGTTATCTGTTACTAAGTAACAAACCACCCCAAACTGTAGTGGCTTAAAGGCACAACCAGGTGTATTGCAATTTCTAGCATTTCTGCGACTCTGCAGTGCAGGCTGGGCCCCTCTGGGGCTCATCTGCAGCCTCGCCTGGTGGTCTTGCTGGGTGACTCGGGGTGGTGGGTAGCCAGTGTCCACATGACGTCCAGCAGCATCCACATACTCCTCCGAGCTCCCAAAAGCCAACACGGAGTTCCCACATGAGTAGTTTCTAATATTAACAGCGTTCATCTGAGCACCGGGAGGGAGTGTAAGTAGGTGTCCTCTTCTTATACTCGTCTACTTGTGTTTCCAAATTGTCTGTAGTATGTCCTAATTTTATGTTAAGTAAAAAGAATCAGGCTCCCTGCACAGTGAAAACAGTTTGCTGAGAAGAGCCTGTGGTCTGCATGGAGTCCTTGAAATGGGACTCAGGTCGAGGTCCGGGAGGGCAGGGCCAGGGCTGAGTCAGGTGGATGGGCAGCAAAGATGCCAGGCCAGGAGCTGTCAGCAGAGCAGGACTCAGACCGTTCACGGTGGACGTCAGCCAGGGTCCGGACAGGCGTTTAGGGTGAAGTTGGGATGAAGTCTGATCCCTGGTAGATGGGAAAGCTGGGGAGCTGGGTTCTGGGCGTCCCGGAGCCGGTCGGCCTGTGTTAGGCCAAGGAAGGAGCGTGTCTGAAGACGGCGTAGAAGTGCACATGGGCCGTGGTCACAGCAGGGCAGCGGCAGTTCCTGGGGAGGCCTGGCACGGGGAGCTGTCTGCCCACTCAACATCAGTCCTCGCCTCCTCCTGAAGTGAGCCCCATTTTCATGCGGGGCAACCATGTGCCCAGTGAAAATTCTCTTTTCCAAGCCTCCCTCTGCAGCTAGGCTTGCACAATGGGCTGCTGGCAGAACTCACGGAGTCAGCTGTCAGGGAAATCTCCCCAAAGGGGTTTGCCCCTTGCTCTTTCTCCTCTCGGAATGTGCTGTGTGACTGAGGATGGTGGGATGGAAAACAGAAGGTCCCTGACGACTCTGGGAACCCTCACGCCAGTCCTGACACTGACGTCTGGATTGCTTTTATGGGGAAGAATACGCATCTGCCACTGCGAGTAGCAGGTGAGGTGTGAGAAGCTCACTGGGAAACGGCCTGCTGCAGCACACATGCACACAAGAGATGCTGGCGAGAGCCTCAGCAGGATGAATACAAGGCTCCATCTGGCATCCGAGACCCTCGAGCAAAGGCTGCAGTTGCCGTCCAGGCTCTGACACCATCCTGGGCTGGTCAGCAGCAGGCAAGGATTCTAAACACACATGATCGTTTGGCTTTAGAAATTATTTCTACCTTCCAGTGCCAAATTAGATATATTCCAACCTTCTCATTTTGCAGATGGGGAAACGGAGGTGCAGACAGAGGATGTCACGTGCCTCAAGTCCTCGAGCAGCACAGCAGGCCAGGTGTCTGACTCGTCCAGGACCCACGCCAGCCCCTCTTCTCATGCCTCTAAGAAGAGTGGCGAGGAGCGGCTTCCAGGACGATAGCGCTGTCATCCCAAGAAGCCAGCCTCAAGTATGCGAGCCGCCCGTCCCCCTGGGTGCTTCTTCCCATGGGCACACCTGTCCCTGCTGACACACCCTGGTGTCCCCTCAAGTTCATTACAGTGGGGGTTTTGCTGCACTTACCTTGTGTCTGAGCAATGACTAGCTTCACTCTGGGACATCTGTTCAAGGAATTTCCACGTCCTATTGTTGGTTGGGGGTGACGAGCTCCCAAATGTGGTGCAAAGAGTTTGCACATGTGCAGAGGATGGCCTGTGCAGAGGATGGCCGTGCTTGGGCCGTAGCACCCTGAGGGCCCCCAGGCCCCACGCTTCTCCTGACCTACCTAAGCGGTGACTCTTGGGGTTATCCTGCAGCACATCCTTCTGTGGATGGCTGGGAGTAAGGCCCCCGGGACTGGGGGGCATGGGGTGCAGGGCACCACTGGTGGGGACTCTGCTGGGCCAGTGGCACTGTGTCCAGAGGACAGGCAGCATCCGTGTCCACCCTGGAGGCTTTCACCACAGGTCCTCCGGTCATGCGGGGGCGGCTGGACCTGGGCCTCGGAGGAAGTCAGTCCTCCTCCTGGAAGCCCATTTCCACAGTCCTGACCTCGAGATGTGGTCTTAAACGGAGCCGTTAGGAAGAACCAGAGACAAGGTCAAGTGTGAAAGGCGAGGTGGACCAGGACCCAGGTGAATCAGCCTGATGTGGCTCATGCAGCCTTGTTGACCATCAGCTGCAAGGAAGCCGGAGCGAGAAAGATGGGAGGACAGCAGGACCAGCCTGGGCAGAGGAAGCAACGGGCCAGGATGCAGGCCCAGAACACTGAGACCCACAGGGACACCCAGCCCGGGGCTGTCAGCACGTACTGGTGGCCAGGCAGTCCTGTCGTCGCTCAGGTCCCAGCTCAGACGCCTAGAGCATGCAGGTAGGAAATGAAATGAGCGTTAGACAGCTGCATGGCGATGGGGCTGACAAGCCAGAGAACGGGAGCCCTGCCCAAAAATGTTCCGGCCCGCATGCCAGACCCCAGTCTGTTAGCCAGACACGGTCACATGCAGACCAACCAACTGGCCTCTGGTGACATGAGACGTTTGGCAGACACAGGGCAATTTGCAGTGTGGAGGCCACTCGGTCCCTAGGCGTTGGATCCATGACCCTGGGTCCAGCATCTGATGGCCATCACAAGGTCCAATGGGCAAGAGTCATTGATTTATTCAACACATACCGACCAGCCGCTGTGTTCCAGCCATGTGCCGGGCAGTGGGGACTCAGAGGTGACATGGAGGGACAGTGGTGAATGTGGGCTCAGGGAGGATGCTCTGTTCCAAGCGCCTTTGGGCCAGAAGTGAGGCTACTGATTAGGACTGGAGCAGGAGTGGGAAGAGCCGGGGCAGGCACGTCCGTGAGCCATCCTGGAGGACCTGAGAAACACGGAGACGAGGCCGTGTGGCCGTCACCAGCCACATGAGGGAATTTAATAGGCTCGTTTCTGAGCTTTGAAATGTTTGATGTTGGACATTTGACTGTTCCACATCCCCAGCCAGCTCTACAGAGGCCCATGTCCCAGGGCACCTGCTTTGAA